AATTTAGTGTTTGGATTACTAATTAAAGTCGCGTAAGTGGATAAGTTACGAAGGAGATTGGGTTTTTAAAATAAAATTATGAGCACAAAGCCTCATTCACACAAGTAACTTTAAAATTGACAGCTTCTGGAGATCCTAAATTTCAATAGAGCCCACTTAAGATAAGTCTGAAAGTCTTTTCTGAGCCACCCTAATGCAGAATCTTTCCTTTCTTTTCCTTTTCATGCGACATTTTTGCGGAGACAGAGGTTAAGAAACGAAGCATTTATAACTTTATTATCGCCTGCCCATTGTTGATAACTTCCTTTTTGTGCGTTAAATGCATTCAAATTCTAATTTCCCGAGGCAACTTTTTGCCAAAGGATGCTCCTAGCTTAGGGTCCTGGTAGTGGGTCCTGGTAGCGGGTCCTGGTAGCAGGAGGGCCACTTTTTCTCGTGCTAAATGATTACACTTAACTAGATTTGCATATATTTAAACATTTCCTTATGCGCACGCAACACGAGCTGTGTGCACGTGGTTCTCGGTTCTCGGTTCTCGGCCCTCGCTTCTCCTGCTCCTGTTCCTGCTCCGGCTGTGTCCTGTGCACAAAAGGATTATTAAGGAGCTTCATATGTAAATGAAAACCAAATGCACACGACGTCGACAGAAGGATGGCCGAGGCAGCAGAGGCAGCAGAGGCAGCCGAGGAGCGAGACAGATAACCTGGAAGCCACAGTTTGGCAAACAGAGGCGGCAGGAGGAGCTCCAGCCTCAGCCAGACAATGTTTGTCCTGGGATCCGGAGGGGAACCCTGCTGAGCCAGGACGAGTGCGTGTGCGGGGGGCTACCTTTCGAGCCCGGCTAGAAAGTAGGTGAAAGCCAGAGGCAGACGGAAAGCCAAATGGAGTGCCCGCACCCCTTCGCTCGCTCGCTCGTTCGTTGGCCCGTAATTTATGCTTAAGATAAAGTCCTTGAATAAATACATGGAAAATCCTTTGAAATTGAAATTAAATACGAATATCATCTTTTTTTCATCCACATAAGAGCGAGACAGGGGCGGCTGAGACTGGGCGGAGGCACAGGGAAATGCAGACAAAAGGCGAACGGGAAATGAAATTAACATTTGAGTGCGCTCCCCAAAATTAAACGAGACTCCACAGGAATTGGGAATTGCGGTGCCGAATGGGGGTTGTGGGATGTGGGGAGTCCGGCCAAGCACACACACGTATTTATTTATTGAAGCTTTTTCGGGTTTAGATATGTGAGCCATCTTATTTAGCATTTCTGGTATTTTCCCAGCTGCCTCCCGCTCGCTCCTTCTCCTTTTGAGTGTGCTTAGATTGGGGTAAAATTCCCATAGATTGTGAGGCAAAACATTTTTCTTAGCCATTTGCCATATGAAATTAATTTTACAGTCAGCAGGCATGGCTCGATGCAAAGCCTTCAGTGGCAAACAAGCAAAGAAAGCATTTAAGGCGAATTTATTTTCCAGGGGGCGAGGTTAGAGCTTGTGGTTACCTCTGCAAAATTGCAGGGAAACTGGAGCAGCCCTGCAAGATATTCTTTAATCTAAATCGCTTGGGAGACAAACTTGCCTTAAATCGCACTCAAAAAGTAATAAATGACTGAGCGAATTGCTGACTAAAATTTAATTTCGGGGCACCTCCTCAACTGTTGCATACTTGTCAGCTAGTTCATCTCATCTGCTCGTATCCTTTACTTCAAATTTGTATTCCCATCTGCATTTCCATTTTTGCAAATGAAGTTGCTGCTGCTTGGGTCCTGGCATTCACAATTCAGATTCTCGTTAGCTGCAGTTTGGTTATGATTTCCTGCATCTCTGCTATTGCTATTGGATTTCCCCTGGGTATTACATATTAACAATCCTTTTTGTTCTCGAGCGGGACACAGCTTGAATCTGCTTTTCATTAAAATTAATATTAATTTCACCTGAACGCACTGGTTTAAATTGCATTTGCACAACCGAAAAATCCCATTGAAGTTGCAGTTGTTGCAGTTTTGAAGCTTTGGCCAATTGGCTCATATAAATTGCATTGCATTTTTCCGGGGCCCCTTTGGCAAAGTTTTATTATTGGAAAAACAAACATATTGCAGCTTGTCTGTTGGACTTTTGTTATTGCATTTTGAATTTGCGGTCGGGAAACAGGGGGCATGAAATGCCTCTGGCTCCGCATAGAAAAGCAAAGCACAAAAATTAATTATGAAACATTGTTGGAAATTGTGTAAATATGTATCAATGAAAATGCAAGGCAAACAAAGCAATCCTGGTCGAAATGCAGAGCCTGATCGTCCCAGGTGAGCCCCGAACATTTAAATGGGATTGAAAGTGATTTTCAAATCAATGAAAACAGTTTACCAACATTTGGAACAGAAATTGAAATATTTTCATAAGAATTACAATATCGCTCGGCCGAATTCCTCTTGACGGGCAACTGCATTTCCACACAGGTTTGGACAAATAAATCCCTAAAACATCGCAAATTTTTCACTTTTCCCGCCAACGATGGCAAATGTTAACCAGCATGGAAATTGCAGCGAAATTTCGGGCGCGAAAATAGATACGTCATAGATTTTGTTACCTAGTCAATTTATTTGGCCGCTATTTTAGTTCGCCGCCCGAAAGCAAATCAAAAACCATCGAGAAGTGTCTAAAATGTGCAATATGAGTGCGGGACGGGGCAGGGAGGGGCAACGAGGCCCATAGGCTATATAAATTTCAATCTATCATTTATTTAAGTCCTAGGCCAGCGGCATAGGAGCTGCGCCCGGACCGAGGCTCTCATTGCCATAAATCCCCATCAGAGATACGCGTATATTTATTTACTGCAGCTCGCCCAGATACAGATACAGTCACCCCCACCGACACACACACACACACACACACAACCACCCAAACACACAGCCAGGCGGAGAGGACATCGTCGGGCGACAAAAATTGTAGCCGAAAAATAAAATAGCTCCTCCTGCCTTGTTTCATATTTTATTTGTGTTTTATTTCTGCCTTTTCTGGTCTTTTTCTAGTTTTCTCCACCGTTGCCACTGTTGTTCCTTTTTCCTGTGTAAATATTTTGGAAAATGCGTTTTTCTTTACTGTCGCCTGCCGGTGCCGCTGCCGCTGTTATATCTTTTTATACACCTCGCTCCTCCTGTATATATAGCGCGCAATGAAAAAGGATTTTTTGGCGATTCCCGCCGGGCTGCCAATTTTTATGGTTAAAATATTTGTGTTGCTCTCGTTGGAACGCGGGAACCTGCTAAAATATTTATGACAAGCGCCGGGGAATACCCGACATACAATATTTCAATAGCGAAAATAAAATTCTTAATGTTTGGTTGGTAATTAAAAAAGTCCAATTGAAATTGCCCCGAGGTGGAAAGGGGGAAAACATGGCAGCGGGAAATTGAAGTGGCGGTCATAAGTAGCCCAAATGAATTTTTATTGCTGTTCATTAGGCATCGAATGGCATCGAATCAATCAATTGTGGCGTTGCTGCCTGAGATCAGAATGAGATCGCATAGGGGTTGGCAGCATATGAACGATTGGAACCGAGAAGGGAAATTGAAAGGGAAAACTATTGGCTAAGCCGGAAAGCCCTTCGATAAACGGGCTGAATTTTGTATTGTATTCATTTGTGCCATCGGGGACCTTTAAAATTGGCCACTGTATTCCCGGCAAAACTTTTAATTACCCCCTCCGTTCCCACTATTTTACTCTCTGGTTTCCATTCTGTGCTCGCCTGCATTCGGCAATTCCAATTAAGCTATCATATTCTTGTCTCGGAAACTTTCCCCGAATCAAAACTTGTGGCTCCCCCGCTTCTCACTGCACCAACCACCTCACCATCAGAACTGGGCTAACGAATATGTTCAATTTTGTTCCTGAATGCCAGCCGAGCACAACAAAAACTTTATCTTAATAATTTCCATATTCCATAAGTTTAACATTTTTCCACAAACTTCTATAGCTCAAAATATTCAGAAAGTCGAACAACCGAGTGCGGATCCCAAGCTTGTTCGGCTATATCTTAAAGCTTTCTAACAACTCTCTACAATTATTTTTACTAGAGTTCAGAAATACTCATACTTTATTTTACTAAAAGTAAAAAAATCAGTTCTTTCTTAATTATCTGTTGTTTGCGTGCAGCAAAGCGCCAAATTCTTTGCGATAAGATTGTTAAATTAAAATAGCACGTCAATACAAACGTTGCAAAAAGTTTTTTAATTGAAATGTATAATCCAAGCTATTAATATGAATGCTAAATAAACCAAAACAATTTTTCTAACTGAATTTTTGGTGAAGAAATTAATCCGAAAAAGCCTAATGTTTATATTTCTCAAGTGTTTTGAATTGTTTTCCGATTGGACCACTTTCCCAAAAACCCTATACAACTTGTAAAAACCCATTTTATAACTACAAGGCCATGTCAAGTTAAGGCAAAAGTTATATTCCTTAAAAGAAATTTCTTTATATGAAATAAATAAGTTGAATTAAGGTCCGTATTTATCCCTATAATGGAATCTTCTTACAGTGCTACACCTGCATCAGTTCTTCCCGCTCTTAGTGGGGGCACTTTTCCCATTTTCTTTTGTGGCTAGAATGCAAAACTGCAAAGCCCCTAAAAAAAGGAAATACTGATTGAATGGCATTCCATTGAGGTTGATGGATGCATTAAGGGTTTCTCCCGGTGCTCCATGTCCTCCCCTTCTCCATGTACAACACACACGCACACTGGCGCAAGTAAAGTTTTGTGGTAACCGAAAACACACACAAGGCAAGCTCAGAGACAGAAACAGAGACAGGACAGAAACAGAACAGAACAGAACAGAACAAGAGCGAAAGGGACAGGGCAATAAAGAAGGAGGCGAGAGCAAACCTGCATGTGCAAGGCACATATCTGTATAATGCATTGCACTTAACATGCCACACACAGCAACCACAAGTGCCGCCATTGAATCCCACCCCCTTCCCTTTAGGTAATACATCATTTACGGTACTCACCTGAGGCTGGAGATATCGGAAAAAGTCTGTCGCTACTGCTGGCGTAATCCCGGCAACGTAACGTCTAATCCTTTTGTTTACGTTTATGCTTATCCACACACACAGTCGTACTCGAAGAGTAAAATTTAAATTTCGGCACACATTACGTGGGCGGCGTAGCGTTGCTCATCCGCCTCGTTGCCAATTGTTAAATCCCGCCACACACAAAACACACACACACACAGCCGCGCGCAACGTAAGCCGAGAGGCGGAAGCGTAACGGTTAACGGTTCGCGTCGCGTAACGTTCAGCCAGGCGTCCCTTTAATGTTCTGCAATTGTTGTTGTCGCTGCTGCCAGGATGCCGGCTCAAAAGAGCGAGACGGAGCGACGTGTGTTTTGATTTAATTCGCAAATTATGTGCTGCTTAGTTTGGGCACCGATTCCGATTTGCATATGAATGCCGCACTGTGAAACCGCGTTTTTCGTTTCTCGTTTTTCGTTTTTCTCCTCTTGTAACGTTTTATTTACATATTCTGGTTAATTTTGGGCAGAAGCACTCGCCACGCTGCACAATGTTTCACGCACAGTTCTGTCTCGCCTTTCGTGTTTTATTTTGGGAGTTTGCTAGTCGTTTCGTGCTGGAAAATGTTTTTCGTCGGCGATCATCCGCCCCGTGTACCGCTCGCTGGGAAACTTGGAAAGTAACTGTCTCCCATCGGCACGCCACCTGGCGTCGTCACCTCGGCAGAAAGAGCGAGAGAACGAAGAGAGTGACTGAGCGAGGCGGTGCGCACGCGCGAGAGAGCGCCTCTGTTAGCGTTAACATGGTTCAATTTTGCTCTCACTCGTGGAGTTTCAGCAAGCGACTGCTAACAGGGCTTTCCCAACAGCGGCAGGTGCATCTGGCAAGCCTCTGTTGTGGGAAATTGAAATGCCAGACGGGCAATTGAAAAGGTTCAAATGCCGTGCACGTAGGCTAATTACCGCAATGTAAACAACATTTTTGTGCCGCGCGCAATGCAAATTAACATTAGACAAAGGGCAATTGTTTTCGGCCACCGGATGGGGGAGTGGCATTGGCTGAGCTTTATTAATTATACTTTTTCGGCGGCTATTTACCATGCCACATATGAATGGTAACCCAGGAAATGGAAAACGTTAATGGCTAATGAAGTCATCGACGGATTTCGGACTCGTGAGAAGTTGGTACTTGTTTAACTGTAAGGTTATTGGTTTGGAAATTTCAAACAACTAAAAGTTTGCTTTAATGATAGTTCCTATTAGAATAAAAACATTAAAATAAAATTGTATTAAAATAAATATTAATATAATGATAAATATATTGTCAGTATACTAGTCCCAGCCTGATAATTTTATCAAATTAATTTGGTTTTCGACAAGGCATTATTAGAATACATAATGAAACTGTAGTTAATAGAAACGCATTCATATTTATGAAAATCTTTCAGAATTTAACATTAGCCTAACAATATTTTTTAGTTTACTAGAACACTCAAAGCGATTTTCTTTTGGCTATGAGCTTCTTGCCGTAACATTTAAAGTTAGTAATCCGACCCACGGGAACTGATTCCGCAAATAAACATGTTAATAGTCGGCGCACCGGCACACTCACACATTCACGCCCGTTTAACAGGGCAATAAAATGCAGGCTCAGTCTTTAACAGTCTGTTAGCATGAATCGCGAGCATTGAACGGCCATTAACATAAACGAAACGTCTCGAACTCATAGCAGCTGTGAAAGCGAAACGACACCATTAACAGCGTCAGATGCTCTCTCCTGTCAGCCCAAAGGCCCATTAACATTTAAATTAATAGCTGTAAACGACCGCTGTTCTTGGCCTAGGTTAACATGTAAACAAAGACGCTGTTAGCTGTCTCTGTTATTTGATTGAACCATGGCGCTGTTACAGCACACAGATAAACAACTTCACATCCAGTTTTCAAATTATTAACCAAAAATATGGTAGCATATATATTCTTTTAATGCTTAAACGCTTTTAAATTTTTCCTCAAGAATTGTGGAAACTTCAATGAATCCTTAATGCTGATTGCAAACTTAACTACATGTACTAATTTTCGAAAGTCAAAACAATCAATCCCCTCGACTATTAAACAGTTCTTGTAATTGGTAATTTGGTAATTCCATACCCTATCAACAGATTAGGCGAAGCCTCAGAAATGCCAGCATTCCATTGTCGACCGCACAGTGCTGTCAACTCTGTTAACGAAAACCAGTTTCAATTAAGCCGGATAACAGAGGTATTTAGCAGATGAAGAGAGAACCGGTTTTTCTCAATTTTCCATTTTCACGGCTGCCTCTCCTGCTCCCGCTCTCCCTGTCCTACTCTCTTTCTCTCTCTCTCGCCATTCATCTCTCGCTGGCGCTCTGTGGGTGGCTGGATTTGATGGCCTTGATGGGCGAGGGGGGCTGCTGAAATGGTACATTAATAAATGAGTGTTATATGCTTTGTCCTAGTTGACTTCATGACATTCATTCATTCATGGGATCGTCGGAAGCTCTCTCCTTCGATTCCCCCTCCCCCTTTTCCAACACCCCAAAAATGGGATTTTAAAATGGCTTTCCCCTCTTTTGGAGCATCTTTCGTGTCCTTGTCGCCTTAATTGGGTTTTTTATTAACTAAACTGCGTATATTTAAAATTATTTATTATTTATTCGCCCGCTGTATTTCGAATTCATTTCGCCTTAATTTATTTATGTCAGCTTTTTCATTGGCTCTTTTTCCGTGCAGCGAGCGTTCGAGCTCTTAAATTATTAATTATTTTCAGTTATTTATTTGTATTTATTTTTTGTCTCACCTTATCCTCGCTTTTTGTATTGTATTGATTTTGCAGTCATTAGTTTCCTCGCTGTTTGTTTTACATTTTATGTGCATTTTTAATTAGCTGACAGCATTGTTGTTTTTCACCTCCTGGACCCGACTGTTGTTGTTGGTTTTACTCTTGTTGTCCGCTGACCTTTGACACACTCGTAGAAAAACGTTGACAGTTTATGGTTGGCTTTAATTGGTTCCATCGCCCGCTCGTCAAAGTTAATGTAAATGGCTTGTCAATCAATCAGTTGATGGACCCGGGCCAGATATAGATTGAAAGCCCCATTTTTTATACATCCTGGGGGGATTAGTGTCGGGACCATGGTCCGTGGGTCAAACGGGAGCAAATGGAATAAGTTAATACCGCTGCCACGACTGCATGTGCTATTGTTATTCTGGTGACCCTAAAAACCTTTTAAACAAACCATTAAAATGTTTTGCGGCTTCAGACTTTAAGATATCCTTGCCGTATAAAAGGTTTTAGGAACAGGAATGATCTTATTCTTGACTTAAATTATTTTGAATACACGACATTTTTAGTTGTAATTGTAAATAATGTTTGTATCTTGCAGTAGGAGTTTCGTTAAAAATATTTAATATTTTCAAGTTTGTATCAAACTTATATTATTAACAAATAATGGGATAGAAAAAAGTTACTTGATGTCTCAAAGAAATTTGAAACTAATATGTGCATTTAGACCAAAATTAAAAATTACAAACTTTGCTATTATTACTTTCATTTCATATATCAACTTAGGATGTTAGGACAATACAGTTTCATATCTATTTCAATTCATTTATTGTTGCTTGCCAGAATAGTTCAAATTATGACTCGAGCACTGCCCCTATGTCTCTGAAATCACTGGGTCTAAAGATTTTTATCTTTTACTCACAAGAAGAACTGTCTTCAGTTTCTCCTGGTATCATCGTTATAAGTAGATTGACATATCCCATTCATAAATGTTCCCTTAGGACCGGGGTCATTAACTCAGTGCATCCCTCTCGAGCAAATGTTGACCTTTGAGGGTCATCAATCACATATGCACATATTATGGGTGCACTTCACGCCCTAAGCAGCCTTCTCTTTCACTCTCACTCGAAGGGCACGGGGCACGATCTACCTGTTGCCTGTTGCAGGTGAGTGAGCGCACCAATCGGAGGGTTTCTTGGCTGTGCTGTTCCCTGGGAACAGATTACGCGGCAACCATTGGTGGACAGCCATGATATTTTAAGGTAACTAGGCTTCTTTTGTGCTTAGATTTAAAAGTAGTAAGAGGCCTTTTAAAATTGGTTTGTCTTATCATTCCTTCGGAATAACTGTATGATAAGCCACTGTCCACTGCTCAATAATTCTTCTTAAATTTTGTTTGTTTATATTGATTACAGTACTCTGGGAATACAGAAATGATGAGCTAGAGGTTATTTTATTTAAGTGTTAAGCTTTATAAAAAGAACAAATAGTTTTCAAATATTTTTAATTTTAACAATAATTTTCAAAAAAAAAAAACACAATAGACCACTAAATAAATGTTTCTTTTATTTGTGAATAAAATAGGACACATAATAGGACAGTAGAAATAAGTAGGCGTATAATTTAGACTTATACAATTTGTCCTTTTTGCGAGGGTTTTAAGGACACATAGATTGCAAAAACAAGTCTACATTAAATAAAAGAAAAGTTTTTCAGTCGGTATGCATACTCTTAAGATACAACAAATATTTTTCGTACTTTTCGGACCTTGAGACTAGTTTTAAAACTTACAAGTCAAACTTTATAAAAATTTTATCGTAACTGAAGTATCGAAGAAGACATCCAGAAGACACCAGAAGACATAAAAACAAAAACAGCAAACGTTAAAATCGAAAACAAAAAGCTGTAACAAAACCCATAGAATTACATACAATATAATATTTATTTTCCGAGCCCTATTATCTTACGGATTTTCTTGAACCAAAAACAAAAACGCAATTGGCAAGCTAGTCTAATTTACTTAAGAAACACTTGCACAGTTGTACAACATGTATTATTAAAGCCAAGGCAATAACTCAGAAGGAAGCGAACATGCAAACATTCACTTTTACACATTTGTACAGAATTTATTCTCCCGAGGAACGAGAAGTTGAGAACTTATGCACTTAAATTTCATTTGGCGATTGTCCAATTTCCATGATGCATTTCCATTAATTTATATAAATTTATGCAATTACTTTTGTTTATTTACTTGGCCAGAAACCCCCTTCCCCCTCTCCTTCCTTTCAGCTCTGTGGTCTCCCGTTCGTCCTGTTTTGGTCTCGCTTCATATCTCCCCCTTTGCTCCCCTTTCCCCCCCGCTCCACCGCTCCTTGTTTGCATTGTGTGCCAGTGCATTGTCCTTGCAAAATATTTGGGTCACTTTTGTTGTCGCTGCTCAGTTTCGGTTGAACAGAGGAGGGGAGGAGCGGGGGGCTGGCTCAATTTTTTATTGACTTGACAGGACCTCCACGAGTCTTCTTCTTCTTCTCGCACTCGCACTCGCAGTCGCCGCTCCTCCGTGGCGCTCAATTTAAAGTCGCATTGTTGCCAACACATGTTTGACGTGTACAAATTTAATTTAATTTATTAAAATCATTATGTGCACAAAAGCAAAACAGGCGACAGAAATTACCCATGGAATGTCCGACCCCAACAAAGAACGCCAGCACACAGGACCAACCAGGACCAACAGTACAGGACCAACCAGGACAGGACGAAGGAGTGTGCCATTGAATAAGTTTTAATGATGATTGCAGCGGCGTGCAGCAAACCAACGACAAATAAAAACGAGATAAAAAACACTAAACGTGGGAGCTCCGAC